GTGTGTGTGTGTGTGTGTGTGTGTGTGTGTGTGTGTGTGTGCGCGCGCGCTGCAGTAATAATTACTATTCGACTGCACCGTTCAAACATGAGCTCCTCATTACTCTTTGCTGACCTCAGCGCTTTTAATTTTCGCAGCCCAAGTTTTATTTTGGAACTTTTTGATCTTTGGGAACTCCTGCACCCGAGGAGCCGCAGAACAAAGTCACCGGAGAGTTTCTCTTCTCTTTAAATTCACCAATTTACATAAACGAAACTCTCTTTTTTCCCCCCCACCGTTAAAGACAAAATCTATTTTATCTGAGGTCGTAATCGAGGCGATCGTTTCAAAGTCTCTCATTAAAATTCAACAAACTCATCCACCTGAGTCCAAGGTTTCTGTTCAGAGGAGATGATGCTGATTGCTTTGGATCATGGCAACAAWCGCTAAAGGTTTAGCTTTTCTACTTTGCTTTATCTTCACTAAAACAGACCGGAGCAACTCCACCATTACTGCTCCCCCSTCATCTAACGGTGATTTTACGTTCTTTCTGTTATTAGTGTGGAGAAGTTCTCCTGAATCACACGTGATTCATCCAGGTGAGACAGTTTAACCCTGCGAGCGCCACAGACACCTGCGGCGCCTTCAGGTTGGACCGGTTCAGCTTTGCTCAGAGGGATTCGTGTTGGTTCACATCCCGGGACTCGAGTCTCGCCCACCTTCTTGGTCTTCTCACAGCTGAGGTTCTGCGGCTGGAAGGACTCGATCTGAACGCACTTCTGATTGGGCGACCAGAGCCAGGCGTTCTTCTCCTCCGACCTGCTGCAGTCCTGCCTCCTGCTGCACCTGAGAGGCAAGGAGGAGGGAAAAATGTCTTAAGACACGGTTCTGTCATACTTTTTAGCCTTTAGCCTCTAGCTAGCTTCTTGCTACTTTTAACTTACATTATGATACCTTTAGCGTTAAGCTGGCCTTTTATTATTTTCAGCTACCGTTCTGCCACTTTTAGCTACCCTTTTGTCATTTTTAATGTTCCTTTTTGGCTACTTCAGCTTTTCACTTTCACTACTTTAAATTTAAGTCTATAAATTATAATTTTAGCTATTGTTTTGCTACTTTTAGCTTGTCTTTCACCTCTTTTCAAACATCTCCCATCTTGCTACTGCAGTTTTATTACACTTTAAATACTTTTAATGTTAGCAAGTAAATGCTACTTCGACCTACCTCATTACTTATTCTAACTTTTACCTAGCCTTTATTAGCCTGTAGCTTTTAGCTATGCTTTTGCTACTTTTAGGTTTATCTACCTTCTTGCTACTAGGTTTTGCTCATTTTTCATCTTTCAATTAATAACACTGACATGCTACATTTAGCTAGCTTTTTGCTAATTATAGATTTTAGCTACATTTTTGATACTTCAGCTCATACCTACTGCTACTACTGTTTAAACTGTGGCTATAAAGAAGCTATTTTAGCTAGCCTTTAACCTTGTCTGTTTTAAGCTATTTCAACATTTAGCTAGCCTCTTTAACCKTCACTTTTAGCTTTTAGCTAYAATTTTGTCACTCTTAACCTTTAGTGRTTTGTTACTTTTAGCTAGCTTTTTAGGTTTTAGGGATTTTTTTAGCTAGCTTTTGCTTTTGTACTTTTTATTTTGATACCTTTTAATTGTAGCTAGCTGTATGCTACTTTTACCTAGCCTTTTGCTGCTTTAAGTTTGTAATTAGCCTTTTGCTACTTCAATCGAAATTTGGTTACTTTTAGCTTTTGGTTAATCTTTTGATGCTAGCTAGCCTTTTATCCACTTTTTGGCTTTAATTGCTTTTAGCTTTTGGTTTGTTTTTATAGCTAGCATTTGTACTTTTTAGCTTGTGTTCAGCTCGGTTTTAGCTCCTTTAGCTGCCACAGAAGAAGCCATCTGACTCACTTTCCCTCCAGGACACACCAGCCACAGAACGGATCCTTCATGGAGACGCAGGAGTGGCAGTCTTTCTTCAGGTGGCAGGTTTGGACCGGAACCTTGGTGATCTGAGGACACAGAAAAGGCTTTTATTGTGAAGGAACAAACGACTTCTGACTTTTTATTTTCTTATAAAAACCAGAAATTTAAAGCCTGACTTTATTTCCCACCAGCTCCAATCTGAAATATTTCTTGGTGATTTAAACATTGTTTAATTAACCCTTTCATCATCGTTGTCGGTTTAAAATTAAAGCTTGGATCAGGGGCCTCAAAGATAAAAAAATTTAAAAAAGACAACTAATCTTAGAAAATCAAAAAGAAGCTGAAGCTCTCTGATCATTTTTCAGCACGTGGGTCTTTATCTGACTCTTGGAATTCATCTCGGGTTTCACTTTGAAAAGAAATAAATCAAACATTTATCTTGGGCTCGTGTGATATTTATGCTAATTTGAAGGAGAACATCTTCCAGCTTCTGMTGGAAATAGTTTTCCTCTCTGACAAAGAGGAGCTCCGCTCTGATAAATCTAAACGAGCAGCTGGAACGAGCCCCGGCGCCGACGCTCCACTTGATCAAAGCAAATTACTCTCTTGAAGTGCGTTGGTAATTATTTCATTTCTCAATCGATAGCGTCTGCTTCACCTCGCCCAGGTGAGAGCGATGGCGAGCGGGAGATGAAAGGACAAAGGGCGGAGAAAGACGGATGGCGGGGAAAGAGGCGAGTGGAAAACAAGAGGGGCAGCGGAGGAACGGAGGGAAGAAATCGATGAGTGATTGTGTGCGGTAATGCAGATGGATGTGTTGGTGCTCGTCGGCTGAATAAATGATCAAATAACACACAGAGAATAAATGAAGGGCTCATTAAGGCAGCGGCCTGATGGATGAAACGCAGGAGCAAGTCGACGACAGCGAGCTGCTCGTAAAGAGAACACATCAATCCGCTCCCTGTGACCTTTTTCTCCGTGGCGATGTACAGATGTTGGAGGCTGGAATCGAACAGCAGGTTCTTGTTGACCCGGTCCCCGGGGACTTCGCTCGAGACTCGCCCGTACACCTCGGTGGGCGTCCACAGATGAACCTTCAGCACCTGCAGGAACACAAAAACTTCATGAAGCCCTGGACTAAAACTAAAACTAAAAACTACGTCTGTTTGGTTTCACTTAGTTTGAACAAAAACACTCTGAGCCTCATGTTTGAGCTAAACTTAATTTATTCAAACTTTGTGCTATTTTAGCTGTTCGAACATCAAAATGTTCGGCTCATTCAGGAGTTAGATGCTGTGACTTTTGGTCTTCATAACTTTTTTACTTTTCAAAATATTTAACTTTATTAACAAATATTTTTTCCACAGAAAATATCCAAGATCTGGTTCCTTCAGAACATTTGCTTTAGCAGCTGGCTTTAGTTTTAGCTTTAAACCATCCTGTTGCTACTTTCAGTTTTTAGCTTTAACTTCCAGCTACCATCCTGTGACTTCTCATTTTTGGCTAGCCTTTAGGCTTTTTTTTTTTTTTAGCATTTAGCCAGCCTATTGGTACTTTTAGCATTTAGCCAGCCTATTGATACTTTTAGCATTTAGCCAGTCGGTTGGTACTTTTAGCATTTAGCCAGTCGGTTGGTACTTTTAGCATTTAGCCAGCCTATTGATACTTTTAGCATTTAGCCAACCTGTTGGTACTTTTTGCATTTAGCCAACATTTGGATACATTTAACCACCCTTATATTTTAGCTATTATCTACCGTCTTGTCTTGTTGTGTCTTGTTACTTTTAGCTAGCCTTTTGCTACTTTAAACTTTAAGCAACTCTTTTGCCGGTTTAATCCTTTAGCTACATTATGTCCATATTTAACTTGTAAATAGCGTTTTGCAGGCTTTTGCAAATTTTTAATACTTTTAGCTCTTAGCCAGCATTTTCCTTATTTGAACTTTTAGCCAAGATTTTGCTGATTTCAGCCCTAAATTCTTGTTACCTCTCCGTTGGCGGTGCCCAGGAAGGCCACAGCGTGCTCCATCTCCACAGCCACAGCCACGGCGGTCATGTGAATGTTACGCTCCAGCGACGGCTCCGCCGTTAGGGCGAACTCAGGCTTGCTGGCTAGCGGCGACGGCAGGAAATCCGCTCCGCAGCCGTATCTGTGGACCATGTCGGCCTGATGGAAACAAGCAAACGTTTGATTAAACAATTTACTCGACTCTTTCAGCTTCACTTCTGCTTTGGTGGTGTTTTCCGTCACCTGCTTGTCGGTGCACGGACTCTCGGTCTTGGTGGAATACGGCGAATAGACGGCGAGCTTATCGTTGATGATGCCTTTTTTGCTATAACAGGCTCCGATTAGGTCCACCAGCCGGGCGTTGATGGACTTCATGGGGTACGCACCTACAAACAAAAACCAAATCAATAATCTGGACCCCCCAGTTTTCTCTTTAGCTTCAGCTTCTGTAAAACTTGTTTCTGAGGGTCATCCCCAACAATATCACGAGATAACACTCAACGTTAGATTCTGCACAATGAGATTAAACCACTGAGAACTGATGGAAATACAGACATTTCTTCATTTATTTTAAAATAATAATCAGAAACAGCTTCTGCACAGCTGAGAAAAGTGCCTTCTGGTCATTTTACACCATTGACTTCACATACTTTCTTGGGATGATCTTTTTTTCTTTCTTTCCAAGCAATAAAGTCAAAATTCAAAGCTGAAAATGCTCTTTGATATCGATCGTGTGAAATAGTTATTTCTCCAGAGCAAGATACCAAATTAGCCTTTTTGAAACTTTGTTTCTCAGCTGCTGATCCCGAGATGAAACGGCAGCTCAGAACAAGAAAATAACAAATATTTTATTGACACAATCTGACATTCTGCTAACTTAAAGAAGCAAACGGTACGTACACATGGCTGACATTCCTTCCTTCTCAGAGGTGAAGGTGACAAACAGCACCCTGTCGGACCCCAAAACTGGTCCGTACTGACTGGACTTTGTCAGGTTTTCGGCAAAAACGTCACCAGCTGTTCCAACAAAAGCAGCCTGAGAGACAAAGAAGATGTTTTCTGTAAGAATGACTGAAACATTTTAATATTTTGTAATAAATAAATAAATAAATAAATAAATAAAAAACCTGACACATTGTTTTTTTTTTACCTGAGCCTTGTTGTACTTCCTGGTGGCGCTACAGTTGAGCTGCAGCTCTGTGTACGAGTAATAGCTCTGATCTTCCTCACACATCCTGGCTATAAAGGTGAAGTTCTTGTTGTCCTGCATCCCGAGCGTCCGAGAGAACAGGAAGTAGACAAACCCGCCATCTTTGAAGGCGAAGCGGAAGTCGTGACGGTTGCGCGGGCCGAAGGGGTTGGCCTGAACCGCGGAGGCTTCGATGATGCTGTCGAAGTACGTCCATTCACTCTTATATTTCTGGAGGATCCGGGTGGCGATCAGCTTGGTGCTGTCTTGGCTTCCAAACCCTTTAGCAACCTGAGACAAAAAAATAACAGGGAGGAAAACAAATATCAAATATCTGATGAAAACAGACTCCTTCCCTTCACAGATCCCTTTCTGGTTTCCTACTTCTTATTTTTCTGTTTGCTTTTAGCATCTAACTACTTCTGCATACTTTGAGCTATTTATAAAATCACAAAATATTAAGTATTTAACTCACTGTTAATTATACAAAGGCTAAGGCAACTACAGCTAATGCTAGTTCAATCAATGCTAATGCTAATTTTACTACAGCTATGGCTAATACTGCTAAGACTGTACAATTACTATCTATGCAAATGCTATGATAACTACAACTAATGCTAGTTCAATCAATGCTAATTTTACTACTGTTATGGCTAATACTGCTAAGGCTAACTGTACTACTGTTAAATATACTAATGCTAACAAAACTATTAATGCTAGTTTTACTAATGCTAATTTTACTGCTGTTATGGCTAATACTGCTAAGGCTAATTTAACTACTGCTAATTATATCAATGCTAAGGCAACTACTGCTAATTCTAGTTCTACAAATGCTCATGCTAATTTTAATAGGGTTATGGCTAATACTGCTAAGGCTAATAGTAAAACTGCTTACAATGCTAATGTTAGTTCTACTAATGCAAATGCTAATTCTAATACACTATGGCTAATACAGCTAAGGCTAGTTTTACTAATGCTATTGTTAATTTTATTGCTGTTATGGCTAATACTGCTAAGGTTAATTTAACTACTGCTAATTATACCAATACTACGGCAACTACTGCTAATTCTAGTTCTACAAATGTTAATGCTAATTTTTTACGGTTATGGCTAATACTACTAAGGTTATTTGTAAAACTTAGTTCCACCGATACTAATGCAACTACTGCTAATTCTAGTTCTACAAATGCTCATGCTAATTTTAATAGGGTTTTGGCTAATACTGCTAAGGCTAATTATAAAACCGCTAACAATGCTAATGTTAGTTCCACTAACGTGAATGCTAATTTTAATACGGTATGGCTAATGTGGCTAAGGCTAGTTCTACTAATGCTATTGCCAATTTTACTGCTGTTATGGCTAATAATGCTAAGGCTAATTTAACTACTGCTAATTCTAGTTCTACACATGCTAATGCTATTTTTTAAGGTTATGGCCAATACTGCTAAGGCTAATTGTAAAACTGCTATAATGCTAATGTTAGTTCCACCAATGCTAATGTAAATTTTTTTTACTGATATGGCTAATTCTGCTAAGGCCAATTGTAAAACTACTTATAATGCTAATGCTAATTTTATCACTAATATGGCTAATACTTCTAAGGTACTACTGTTAATTTTACAAAAGCTTAGACAACTACTGCTAATGTTAGCTTTACTGGTGCGAATGCTGCTTCTCACCAGGAACACAGGGAGTTTGTTTCCGTCTTTTGTGTAGTTCGACATCACTCCCACCACGGAGACGCTCTCCTCGGAGCTCGTCACGTACGACTTTTCCCCGCTGCTGTCGCTGTAGTAAATCTCTTCCCCCACGTTGCTCAGGTTCCTCAGCGAGCAGATGCCCCTGAAGAGGCTGCCGCAGACCACCAGCTGGTTCTGGCCCTCGAAGACTAGCAGCAGCTTGTTGTGGTTGTTCGTTTCTTTGGCGTTTTCGCAGGTGTCAGCGATGGGCGGCGTGCACTGCGGGTTGTCCTTCTTGGGGCCCGTCTTGATGTCAAACTCCAGTTCCAGAGCGGAGTTCAGCTGGTAGAGGTGGTTGACGGCGCCGACGTACAGCCGGCCCGTGCGGGGATCCGACACCACGTTGTTGATCAGCGTTTCGGAGGTAAACTCTGGGTTCGTGCACTGGGAGGGACTGAGGTAAATGGTTGCCACTGTGACCACTGTCACCTGCCACACCCACCACCGCTCCATCATTGCTGGAAGACAAAGACCAAGTTTGTTAATTTTTATAGTCCTTCCCAGATGACCTGATACTTCAAAGACTCATCAACAACAAAGATGCTTTGTTTTTGTCACAACAGTTGCTGCCTCTTAAAACCAATCTACAAGAAAAAATAAATAAAAAATCAACACCAGCTTTTGGTATTTGTTAGAGATGCTCGATATTGACTTTTTGCCGATATTCGATATGCCGATATTGTTCAACATTTTGTCTCGAACAATAGTTTGGATCATGCTCTCCCTGAGACAATCCAGTTTGATGATGTCATCAATCGCACACTGGTGAACGTCTTTGGACCACAAGCATTTATTAACACATTTTGGTCAAATCCAGGCGCTAATTTAACAGACTTTTGTTATGAGAAGAAAAACTGATACAGATATGTAGAAATTTTACATTTTTATGCTAATATCGGACCGATAATGTCGGCCTACAGATATTATCGGACATCTCTATTATTTGTTTCTTTTCCTGCCATTCAAAAGTTTGATCCTCTTCTGGCACAACTCTGTTTGATGAACCTGTACTTTGAGTCCAACTAATTCAAGATGGCCGCCACAGCTAACAAACATTGTGAGCTTTTGCTAAAACTCCATCGTTTCTCAACATAACTTTTGGATTATTTTCTGAACTTCGACCTCTGGCCTTGAAGTTAAACCCTTGGACGAACCAGCTGCAGTTTTAACTCCGGTCTCTAAAAGCCAACAAAAGGTCCAACAGCAGCAGGAAGTGGAGCAGAAAAAGACCGGAGGCTGGGAGGAAAGACAAACGAGAAGCAATAACGAGGAGCTTCTCGTTAAAACAGGAACATCCTTTAAAAAGCTGAGGAGTGGTGCGAGGTGGAGGTAACGAACTCAGAGTGAGAGTTAGCTGCTTGGCCAGATTAGATTAGAAAAGACAAAGAGTGTGTGTGTGTGTGTGTATTTGTGTGTGTGTGTGTGTGTGAAAATGAGAGACAGAGTGCAGCAATTAGTCGTCTGACATCCAGAGTTTCTCCTTCCATTAGTCTGGATGGGAGTGTTTAATTATAGCTGTGGCCCGTGGCTGTAAAACATGGCTAACATCATGTTGTCTGTAATAACATTGTTCAACACAAACACACTTCGGCTCCCATCTAATTCCCAAAAAACTCCACAGTGATCGTGTGAAAATGCTGAGTCAGCATGCAGGCTTTCCTGCCTCTTTGTTTTCCTCCAAATGTTAATCTGACAACTTCTGCACATTTTTTACATTTCAAAACCTTTGGCTCATTCAGTTAACGGACGCCGTGAAGTTTGATCTTAGTAACTTTTATATTTTGAAATATTTAACATTATTTACAAATATTTTTCCTATAGAAATATAATAAGATCTCTTTAATTCCTTCATATTAGTTTTCTATAGATTGTAATTAACCGGTTTGCTGCTTTTAGCTTCTAGTCAACACTTCCGCTTCTAGCACAACTTCCAATACTTCTAGGCAACCTATGGCCACCTCTAGTCAACCTATGGCCACCTCTAGTCAACCTTTGGCCACCTCTAGTCAACCTATGGCCACCTCTAGCCAACCTTTGGCCACCTCTAGTCAACCTTTGGCCACCTCTAGCCAACATTTGGCCACCTCTAGCCAACATTTGGCCACCTCTAGCCAACATTTGGCCACCTCTAGTCAACATTTGGCCACCTCTAGTCAACCTTTGGCCACTTCTGGCCAACATTTGGCCACCTCTAGTCAACTTTTGGCCACCTCTAGTCAACCTTTGGCCACCTCTAGTCAACCTTTGGCCACCTCTAGCCAACCTTTGGCCACCTCTAGCCAACCTTTGGCCACCTCTAGCCAACCTTTGGCCACCTCTGGTCAACCTTTGGCCACCTCTGGCCAACCTTTGGCCACCTCTAGTCAACCTTTGGCCACCTCTAGTCAACCTTTGGCCACCTCTAGCCAAGCTTTGACCACCTCTAGCCAACCTATGACCCCCTCTAGTCAACCTTTGTTTCAACTCAGTTTCAGCTTCTTCAGTAAGTTTCAGCAGTCATTCAGCTCTCAGCAGTTTCAGACATTTTTCCTTTAAATCTCAGAAGTAGGATCATAAAATGATTCTCGTTATCTCAGCCTGCGGTCTAATAAATCAGAGATTGAAGTTGCGTTGTGTTGGTTCAATATTGCCGGCACGGTCTAGACGTTTTACTGGTAAATCACCGTTTTTTACAGCAGGTATCAGATAATTCTGACAGCTGGTCAATTGACAGACACCTCCACTGTCTTTCTGCTCTCTGCAAATTGAATTCACCTCAGTGCCGAGGGATTTATTAGTGTGACGAGACTTATCTTTCTGCCCACCTGCTCTGCTAAATTACCCATCCACAGATATCAGGAGTCAGGTGCTTCAATGGTTGCACAGCAGATTTTTACAGCCAGAAACACTTTTAATGGCACTGCTCAGTTTCCAGCTTTAAATCCCGAATCTAATAATTCAGCTGTCGGCTCTATGAGACGTAATCAGAATGAGAATCATTTCCTAAATAAACATAACTCTGCAGAAGTGTTGATGGAAATAAGATCCAATCACACGAGATGCTTCTTGGCTCACTTACGCCTGTTTGTGTTGGCTAAGCTAGCTGGCTGTGGCAGCCATCTTGAATTGGAGCAGTTGTGGATCAACATCAAATGAGAAGTTTTGTTCATCAAGACTAATCCAGCTGTTGAATAATTTTTCTCGTAGCACAAACATGCATACAGAGAACATATGTACACAACGCCAAGTCAAAACTTATGTTGTGACTTGGCGCTATATAAATAAACTGAATTGAATTGAATATCATTATCCATTATCGACCAATAGGAAGTTTATTCTGCTAACTGTTACTGCTTGTGACATACAAATAATGACAACAATCTGGTTATGTTGAGCTTTAAATTCTACATTATATAATCAAACTGGCAGAAATAATATAATAACCCTGCAGGAAGTGCTTCAGACCGCACAGGAAGTGCTCCAGGCTGTACGAGAAGCTCTCCGTGCTACAAGGGAAGTGCTCAAGATAACAGGAAGTGTGCCGGACTGCACATGAATCACTCCAGGCTGCAGAGAAAGTGCTCCAGGCTGCAGAGAAAGTGCTCCAGGCTGCACAGGAAGTGCTCCAGGCTGCACAGGAAGTGCTCCAGGCTGCACAGGAAGTGCTCCATGCTGCAGAGGAAGTGCTCCAGGCTGCAGAGGAAGTGCTCCAGGCTGCACTGGAAGGTGATCCGGGTTCCACAGGAAGTGCTCCAGGCTGCACAGGAAGTGCTCCAGGCTGCACAGGAAGTGCTCCAGGCTGCACAGGAAGTTCTCCAGGCTGCACAGGAAGTGCTCCAGGCTGCACAGGAAGTTCTCCAGGCTGCACAGGAAAGTGTTCCAGGCTCCACAGGAAAGTGTTCCAGGCTAAACAGGAAGTGCTCTAGGCTAAACAGGAAGTCCTCCAGGCTAAACAGGAAGTGCTCAAGATAACAGGAAGTGTTCCGGACTGCACAGGAAGTGCTGCAGGTTTAACAGGAAGTGATCCAGGCTGCACAGGAAGTGCTCCAGTCTGCACAAATCAGCAAAAAGTTTACATCTTCTTCTGCTTCTCCATAGTTGGCTTGTGGAGGTGACAGGTCCAAGAGAAACCCAGACCTCCCTCTCCTCAGGTCCTTGTGGGAGATCCCAAGGTGTTCCCAGACCAGAGAGGATATCTAATCCCTCCAGAGGGTTCTGGCTCTGCCTCGGGGTCTCTTCCCAGTGGGACATGCCTGTAAATCCTCCAAAGGGAGGCATCCAGGAGACATCAGCTGGGGCTCATGTAGACAGATCTGTAAAAGTTGAGGTTAAATCATGAAGTTTAGAAAAGTTAAACAATAAGTCGTCTTCCACCTGATGTAGCAGCAGCTCTTTAACAGGAGTGTGGAACAGAGCTCGTTAGTGGATGTTGTTCTGTATTCTGTGGCTGTAGGTCAACATTTACACCTCCACACTTTAATGTTAACCCAGCCGACGTGTCCCCGTCATGTGGGCTCCTCTCTCATTAAACTTCATCTCCTTTTTGCTCAGGAGGAAAAAAAGAAAACAGGCCTAAAGAGAGCAGGTGTCTTCAGTGTCTCTGTGCTCCTCGGAGGACCTGTTATGAATCAGCCACATCAAAGGAATAAAAATCATCATTGGTTTTTCTCACAGGAGTCGTGTCGTTGCTCTGCCAGCTCCTTTTCTCTCTGCTGCAGCTCCTGCCTTTCATCCTCCTGCTCGGGATCTTTAAGCCCGACTGGTGTCAGGACAGGAATAAACGGCTCGGCTCGTCAGACGTGTGTTTGTGTTGCAGAACAACAGATGGGTTTTTATAGGTGTGACGTTAAGAAGGAGCCGGGCTCACAGCTACTCTGCCTTTTGGTTAAAGCGGGCCGTGACATAAACACAATTAACCAAATGAAGCGTCGGGATAATTAATGTAAACAAAACAGGTACTCAGAAAAATCTGCATCCTCTGTGCAGCTTTTCTTTTGGTGGCTCAATCACAAAAAAGAAGCTAATTTAAGAGATAAAGAAGGATTTTAAAATGTGGAATAAAAATAGAAACAATGAAGAATGAGCCTGTGAGCAACATGAAGTGAAGGTTAAACTAAGCTGTGAGGGGGAAACCTCAACCTCACTGGTTGGAGACAAGTTAGACACAAAGTTACATAAAACACACAAAATTTCACTGCATTCATGCATAAACTACAGCAGCTCAGTGACTGAGGTGCTGATCATTTTTGTTGCAATTTAGTCTTAATTATGTCTCAATTTGATCACAATTTGAACAGTTGAAACGGCTGTTTGTGCTGCTATTATTTATGATATATTACACGTTATAATTTCAGAAGATCACGTRACTTGGCCCGTTGTCACAGACGTAAACAATTCAGACCAAATCACGTGATCGTCTGACATTATAACGTGTAATATCTCATAAATTATATAAGCACAAACAATTGTTTCAAAAGCACAAACCTGCTCAAACAAAGCACTACAAAATTCGACTAGTTTGGTTCATTTTTGGTTCATTCTGGAGCGAGCGGGTGGGATGGTGACCCCCTGAATGACCCTCACAAATAATCTTTAATATATATTAAAAAAAGGCAGCACAAACGAAGCACTAACCACTCATCCTATTTGCCTTTTTTTTTCTGTGGTTCATTGTTTGGGAGGGGTTTGTTTCACTCAGCTCTCCTGGACTCCTCCCTGGTGAGGTGTTCTGGACACGTCCCACTGGGAGGAGGTCCAGAGGAAGACCCAGGACACGCTGGAGGGACTATGTTTCTCAGATGGACTGGGAACACCTTGGGATTCCCCCAGAGGAACTGCTCCAAGTGGCTGGAGAGAGGGAAGTCTGGGTCTCTCTGCTTGGGACCTGACCCCGGATAAGAGGAAGAAAACAGACGGACGGACGGACGGACGGTCTCCAAACTGTCCCAAAGTTGGTGGAGCAAACAGAAAACTGAATTATTGTTTGAGTTTTGAGTCTCCAACAGTCCCAGCTCAATGAGGAGCAGGTTTCAGCCTCAGACAGGTGAACCTCTAATGTTCACTTTTGGTTTGAGAGAGGAGTAAAAGAAGCCATTTTTGTGAAGAAAGACCGTCCATCATTAAACAGAGGTGGAGGCCTCCGTTTTCAGTTGTCCCCCTCCTACAGTGCTGCTATTGCCAGTATCACTCCACACCCTGTTAACAATAAGTGTTAATTCGGTGTCAACGATAGCCATGTGATGTGAGTATCAGTCACATGGAGGCAGGGCTTAAAAGCCTGAATTTTGCCTGAAACTCTCAGACTGAAGAAGTCTCTTGGAGGAGAGACGAAACGTTTCATTAGAGAAGAACCCGTCCAGAAGACCTATACAAGTCTTTTTCTTTTTGATTTTTTACCTGKATTACTGAGATGCATCAGGACAACCTCTAATGTTGCTAAACTAACAAACCAAAACCTGATAAAACACACAAGATGCAGCTGATTGCTTCCTTCTTTGCAGGCGTTCTTGGCTGGATGGAGGTTGTTACCATTTATCCTGACAAGTGATATAAAAAGGAGACATGGATGGAATTAAATCAGCATTAAATGCTCTATTTTCAGCAGGTGTGTCAAATGTTTGGATGTAGGAACTTAGAGCTCAGCAGGCTGTGCAATAAGATTTTGAAGCTTTTAAAAAATCATCTAAGTTATGAAACGGTGATTTGATAAACAAAAAAATCCCCAAAGAAGCCAGAAAAAAAACTAAAATCTAAGTTTATCACATTGCCTGCAGTGAGTGAGTTGATAAGAGAAGCAGCTGAATGTTTCTGCAGCTCAGACGTGTTGAACGTGTCTTCCTCGTGCTCCTCCACTTTATTCTCACATCCAAACGGCCAGAATTTATCTAGCAGGAGTCACATTTCAGGTTCGACCCAGAATTAGTTTTTTAAGAACTCGTTAGTAGAAATATAGATTAGATTGTGAAACACAGAGACAGACAGCGAGGCTCGATAAAATCCTCCGCTGGAACTTTTCTGAAAGTCTTAGAGCTCCAGGTGAAAGTGTCTGGAGTGAAACTGAATCCAGGAATGTGTGTCGAGGCTCCAGCCAGAGGAATAAAGCCCGACTGATTCTTCGCCTCCGTCTCACCTCTTTAAGCCTTGTTCTTTCCAGCTCCTCTTCATCACCCGTGGGAACCATTTCAAACAAACACGGCTCTCTGACAATCCCTCCGGGGGGTGGGGTGGTGGTGGGGGCAGAGCAGACCTGAAACCGTCCAGGGTTCTGTATGACTGTCGACACGAGGCCCGGCACCGAGCTTTCACCCACAGAAAGATTTAAACAATACTTCAGGTTCAGTGAAGTCAGAAATCTTCGATTAGATTACATCACGTTCCAGGAGAGGCTTTGAAAAGTCCAAAACAGTCGTGGGAAAAAGAACTTTTCAACTGAAATACGTCGATACATTCATTATTTCTGTAGGTTTCTCCTACGTGATGCCAGAACTGTTCCAACCAGAACAAACCAGAAATGACAGATTTTAAATCCTACACAAACACTGCCCTGTTTGGTACCTTTGATGAGCAGCAAACAAAAAGTGAAACCAAACTTTGTGGGATTTTCCATCAACTCTGGATCTGGGCCATCCATCCACCCCCTGGTTGGGGCTGATAAAACCTGTAAAGTTACAGATACTCTCCCATAAATGCATTTTTAAAGCTCTGAGTGGTGTTTTAAACCTTCATAAAGGCTCATTTATAAGGAGCTAATCACCTCAGCTGATGATGCCGTTGTTATTTTTCCTATGAGCCGATGTAATTCTCCAACATTTGTTTCAATCTGACGCAACTCGACATGAGATATATATTTTTATTCCTGCCAGGCGAGACGCCTCGAGCTTCTGTTTCGCCTCCAGCTTTTGCAGAAATTGACAATCATCCRGATTTACAGGATGTGTTCAGAGATTTCAGAATAAGATGAGACGATAATGAAGGTTTTGCAGAGAACGACACAAAAATAGGACATTTCTGCATCAAGTGTCGAGGTGTGGATTTGTTTGAAACGAAGTGAGACGGAGCAGAGAAACAATTAAAACATGCAGGATAAAGGATCTCCAGGACCAGGACTGGACCCTCCAGGACCAAGTAAAACATGCAGAATAAAGGACCTCCAGGACCAAGTAAAACATGCAGAATAAAGGACCTCCAGGACCAGGACTGGACCCTCCAGGACCAAGAAAAATATGTAGAGTAAAGGACCTCCAGGACCAGAACTGGACCCTCCAGGACCAAGAAAAATATGTAGAGTAAAGGACCTCCAGGACCAGAACTGGACTCTCCAGGACCAAGTAAAATATTCAGAATAAAGGACCTCCAGGACCAGAACTGGACCCTCCAGGACCAAGAAAAATATGTAAAGGACCTCCAGGACCAGAACTGGACTCTCCAGGACCAAGTAACACGCAGGATAAAGGACCTCCAGAACCAGGACTGGACTCTCCAGGACCAAGTAAAATATGCAGAATAAAGGACCTCCAAGACCAGAACTGGACCCTCCAGGACCAAGTAAAATATGCAGAATAAAGGATCTCCAGGACCAGAACTGGACCCTCCAGGACCAAGTAAAACATTCAGGATAAAGGATCTCCAGGACCAGGACTGGACTATCCAGGACCAAGTAAAACATGCAGAGTAAAGGACCTCCAGGACCAGGACTGGACTCTGCAGGACCAAGTAAAACATGCAGAATAAAGGACCTCCAGGACCAGGACTGGACTCTCCAGGACCAAGTAAAACACGCAGGATAAAGGACCTCCAGGACCAGGACTGGACCCTCCAGGACCAAGTAAAACACGCAGGATAAAGGACCATCTGGACCAGAACTGGACTCCAGGACCTAGTATAACACGCAGGATAAAGGACCTCCAGGACCAGGACTGGACCCTCCAGGACCAAGTAAAACACGCAGGATAAAGGACCATCTGGACCAGAACTGGACTCCAGGACCTAGTATAACATGCAGGATAAAGGACCTCCAGGACCGGGACTGGACCCTCCAGGACCTAGTATAACATGCAGGATAAAGGACCTCCAGGACCGGGACTGGACCCTCCAGGACCTAGTATAACATGCAGGATAAAGGACTTCCAGGACCGGGACTGGACCATCCAGGATCAGGACTGGACCCTCCAGGACCAGGACTGGACACCTCCTGGTGCAAACACTAAAAGCATTTTAAAAAATAGTATATAAAAAGTATTTAACTAAGAAAACTGAGAAACTAATAAAAACTTTGCACCCACATGAATGAACTCTGACATATGAACTCAACACTGTTTTATAAATGATAAACATCATTTATAAAGAAGATAAAACCTTTAGACTACCCATGTGCTAAAACCCAGACTAGTCCTGATCTCTTGCTACAGATGTGGGTTTCTCATTGAGCCAATCTGGATTTACAAGCTTTTCAAATAATCTCAGCTGGTGTTTTACTGGGATAAACTAACCTAACTTTAGTAATCTGGAATCTTCAGGGATTTAAAACCAAACAAATCCTCCCTTTTCCTCCACTTTCACTCGGAAACTTTGGACATCTACCGAGGTGGTTTAGTTAAAAAAAAAAAAGAGACCTGACGTGGACTCATTTAGATTCCTGTCCACCGCTGGGCATCATTACACATTCATGGCACGGAGCCAGAGGAACACTGAAGCTGATTGGCCGGGCCTGGAGGGATATGAGAGCTATGATTGGCGCAGCCTGGGGGGAAATTGACTTCTTATTGGTGGTAATGAAGAATCCTGACGCTGAGCACGGCTGAGACAAAGTAACACCAAAGAGGATGGACACACACACACACACAGGTGATCTATCAACTGCCACAACATTACAGTTTATACTRCAGACACACACAAAGCCTGGAGACAAAGTTTATCAGATATTTCTGAAGCTCATGAGGTCCAGGTTTACTGCAACACAAGGTCAGACGTTTGTTTTACTGAACGCTTCAAATAAAAGACTCAAAGACACGAAGGTGACAGAAGAGTCATTAAGCCCAGGTGAGGAGGAAACTCTAAACACTTATTGGATCAGGATTTATTGACTTCTCTGTCTGTTTGCTAACATTTCAACATGTTAAGTTGTGGTTCTGTTGGTAAACCAGACTGGGGGTGAGTTGATGATCAACCTTCTAAAGCGTTTTGTAATTTCCTGGCTTTTCTTTCCAAATAGTCGCAGAGTTGTTGTGGGCGTCCTRAACTCTAGTCTCTACTTCCCTCTGAAAGGAAATATCTGAGGTTACAGTTAAAAACCACCTTGATGATGAGTAAAAACTGGTCCGAATCGGCTCATTTTCATTTCTAAAGTGTGCTCTAATTGATTAAATCAGAAAGGTGGGGACAGGGTGGGTGGATAGTTTTGCAAGAATTGCACACAAAAAATAATGAGTGGTTTAAAATAAATTGGTTGAACAAAATGTGGACAGACAGCTCAATGAAACGTAAAATTCAGGATTTTTTTGCATTTTTGAGTCAAGAACAGCTGCAGCCTGGTGATACCCTACAAGTTCCCATTTCAAAGTGTTTTTGGTAACAGTACCAAAAGTAAAATATTGCAGCTTGTAGAGTCAATTTAATTTGACTGGTCAACAAAACATTAAAACTTAACAGTTATAATTTATCACAATTAAATGTAAAAATGGTAGCTAACTGCGTATCTTCACCATAATAGATGGTTCTGATTGACGTCATCATACGGGTACTTTTTTTTTCACTAATCGTATGGAGGATCCAAAAAAACTATTTACAAAATTAGAAAAAATAAATAAATTTTAAAAAATCAAACAAGGCAGACAAGCATTCCTAAGACAGACCATGCTAATGTCATAAATCACGATACCAGAAAAACATATAAAAAGAAAAAAAGTCAAACTTAATGGTGTAAGAATGTAAGAGTGGTATGGTTTCTAATGTCACGGTAGCAGACTGCTACAATGCTAATGCTAGGTCCTAGCCACTGATCCTGTTTCGTTGTCCAATGACACAAAAAAAAACTTTGCTCTTGATGTTTTTGACAGCTAGCCTGGCAGCGGGGCAAGTAAGACCTGTCAGGCCAACAAAGCTACAATTCGCTGGAGGAAACCCTGGCACTGCTGCCCTCTGTGAGCGCCCACAAATATGGCAATTTGATCACGTGATCCAACAGCCGTTACTTTAGGAAACATCTTTTGTGACAAACGTTAAAAAAAGCTCAACAAAAACTGTATTGTAGTTGGATGTGTTGCATTTTTAACATATAAATGTTAATGACTCAGCAACAATCTCTAAGCTCCGCCTCTTATTATTTGTAATGTGTGATTGATTTCCTTTAACTTGATTTAGGATGGCCGCTACCAGCCATCTTTGCAAGAACAATATTATCATAATGCAGTTATTTTTTCACATATTTAGCAGTTTGAGGTTAACATTTATTCCCAACACAACATGTAAGTCAACAAATAACAATAAAAACCTGGCAGTATAAAAATTAAAACAAAACGTGTTTAATATTATTCTTGTCAGAAATCAAACAAGCTGGTAGAGAAATAAACATGCACCTACAGCGAGTCCATTAGTTCTTCAAATATTGGCTTCAAATTAATTTTGTTTTATATTTATAATAATATATATTTAACTAATTATTTCTGTTTAGAATCGTCATGTTTGCTAGGCGACAGGACGTACGCAGGGGTAAGGGCGGGAATAAAGCAGAAGACCAGACCGTCCAAATTCACAAACACTTTTTTTTCCCAAAGTTCTTGTGGTAGACCAAGGACCCRGCCCATCTAGACCGGGTAGGCCGGGTCCTTCAAAGGACCCAGGCCCTGAGTTTGGACACAGCCATGTTGTTAATTATGCTTAAATTCAAGATGGCTGCTACAGCTACCTTAGCAAATGGCTATAAGTCTACCACATTTAGACATAATGAGCTACAACTTGGTGTGGTAGKTGCTCACTAAAATCCTGAACACACACTCAAGATGGCTGCCAGAGCTACCTTAGCAAACTCAAAAATGACTAAGTCATTCGATTTACCAGATAGTGAAGTAAAAATACTTAAAACTTATATTATGTTGATGAATTAAGCAGCAGGAACTGTCAAAGCTTCTTCAGGAACTTTTATTTTAGTTAATTTATGAGTGAAACCGCCCTCCCCCCTCCTTGACAGTCCGTCTCCATGTCGTGTTGTTGACCCAACGACGTTTGGTTCTGCTCGCCGTGTCACCGTCAGACACGAGTCTTTGGACCTGCCTCAGACCTGATCCTCCTCTCCTGAAAGGTTGATTTATTACAGGACAGAAATTAATTATTCCCTCCTTCAGATAAACTCAGAGCCAAGAAAAGTTCTGTTAAAAGCTTCTTCTTTGAGTTTATCCAACTCCTGAACAAATCATTTCCTGTTTTTCCCCTCTCCTCTCTGATTGGATGGTTCAGCCTTTCATTAATCCTCCTGTCACTTTCCTGGATGTTGAGTTTTAGGGTTTTGTTGTTTTTTTTTTCTAACGTGCGCCGCTTCCAGAAGCAAAAACACTTTTTGAATACGTTGGCTCAAATTCAACAGATGCGCCGAAACTGACAAGTAATAAATCTTCAGAAACTCTGCATCACATCCAGGAAGAAAATTTAAAAGGAAAAAGTCATTTTTTAAATATATTTCAGCACAATAGCTTAACGCAGAACYATAAAGACACAACGCATCAACCAAGAGGCAGCAGGAAAACGTTTACCGATGATTAACTTTTGGAGTCGACGTGATTCAAGACGTTTTATTTTCTTTTATTTCCACCACGACGAGGAGWCTGGAAAGTTGACAAAGTGCAAAGAAATATTCTGTGATGGATCCCAAATCTGAGGAGAGCCTCAGAACAAATTTATTTTCTCAGAGTGATGGAATGAGCGAAAACCCATGAGCTGTCAGAGAGGAGGAGGAGAATCAATCTCCTTAAATAAACACGACTTTACACCAGTCTTYCTGCGTGGCTAAAGACGAAGAATGGAAAATATAAATAAAGCTCGCTCCAGTTTTACGTGGGTAAATTTACACACGTATTATTTCGTGCTATGCTAATGTAATTTAACATCCGTGTCCTCCAAGTCTGAGTGAGCGATTAACAAGCACTTTTTATCAACGAACGCCTCCCATTAACCCGACAGCGACACKCGCTGATGAAACCGTCCTGGAGAGCTCCTTCCTCAGCTGCTGCTTTAATTATCTCTCAAACCTGAGCTGAATTCACAGAAACAGGAYGTGTGTGCGGCGGCTGATGAGCAGCTGTCAGAACGCCCCAACATCTTGTCTGAAAACCCACATTTACGTCCCTGAGATGTTGCCACCAAAGTCCTCCAAAGACCTAACTGGATCCAGAGCCAGGTGACGTTTTAAAAGAAGCAGTTAACATGAAAACGATGAAGCTAGGATAAAAAACAAATACATGAGAACCAATCCTGACAGGTGTTCCGTCTGTATTTAAAGGATCAAATGAAGTCCTGGGTGGTTTGAGATGAGAATGAATGAAAGAAWCCTCCAAACTGATCCCATTTCACACAGTTTCTCTTCTAAAGAACTGAGCAGATATGAAGTGTCACTTAATCTTAAAGTAAAGGGGACAGGTAGGAAATATTTCCTGTCTGGGGAGTATTTTTTTAAAGTAGTATTTACTGGAGAMGAGTTGGTGATGAAAACTGCCAGAAAATCTTGAGGAAACAGAAACTTTTAGTAGCAGTCTCTTTAAACTCACTGGTCTGCAGCCGAGGAGACCAGGAAAACATTCAAGGCCGTGCACATTATCTCACTGCTAAGCTCCGCCCACGTCCTACCAGATTATTTGAGAAGGGGGGCTCTCCAGGCGCTAAGTAGGAGTTATTTGTTTTGTGGGAGGAGTTTACCCAAGACTTGATTGGTCCAATTGACGGTGGGGTTTGAAGAAGCCRCTGGGGGCAGCTGGGAGTAGCTTCGTTGAGTTGACCAGAAAGCAATTATGTTTATTTAAATATCTATATTTTAGTCATAACTTGAGACAGGAAGGTGCTAACTGCACAAAATTTGAAGACAAATTATGTTTACATGTTCACAATAATTTTTGAGATATTGTTCTGTTTTAAACTGTACACAGACACTCAATAAATCCTTATTTTACCATTTTCATTGCTTCCTCTTAAAATTTGCCCCACAAGACA